TCAAAAGCACATACTATAGGGAATTGGGGCCTCTTTTTAATGGCATTTTTAAAAAGCACGCATCCGCAAATCAGCTGGGAATAATGCTAAGAGTCTCATTTAAACTTACAAAAGGAAGAAAATACAAAGAGCAGACAATGTACTCTTGATATCGTCCTTAACTGACCACACGGAGCTTGTCAACTTGGACCTGCTTTACTTCAGTCTCAGAGCTGTGGTGTCAGGCACAGACCAGACCATGTGTCAGAATGAATTTTCAGCTCTGTATTTCCTTGCTTTTGTATGTTTTAGTCCAACCCCTCATGTCACTGTATCATAGAGAGCCATTTTCATTGTGGTTTAATTGTATGAACAAATTTTGTGCTATATTCTTGGAACTGTACAGATGGTTCCATGCCAAACATATTTGTTTACCATGGTAATGTCTGACTTGTATTATACCAGCTAATAAAGGGATTTATTTAAGGAACAAGGTAAATGACTAAAACAGATGTGCCAGTTGGGTGAACTGTTAAAAGGAATCTTAGTTTTCAGCATTCTGTAAAAGTGATTTTTAATGTATTTCTGAGAAATTAAATTTAGTTGTGAAGATATTTTTGTGACAACTCAGCCTATGAGCCTGTTCTGTACTCTTCAAACACAGTAAATCTCTCCTCTGTTTCAGTGCAGATTTGTAAGGGCCTTAATATACAGTCTTTATTCCCCTGTTAATAATTGTTATATTATCATGAATGTTGTCTTCTCTCTAAATCTTTATTTTTAAGTTGCTCATTCAGTCATAGTAAATCTGTGTAATAAGTTTATAACATCTGAATTCACATCACAAAATCTGGCTGTATACTTGTCACATTATTTAACAATTAGTTTTCCACTGTATCAAGTCTGGGGGAGGAAGGGAATAGAATAGTTTACACATACATAACTGGTTTCCCACAATTGTTAACATTTCTGTTGATGACATAATATAAATTGGTACTCTGACACAGGGAAGCATCTCAAAGAATATAATAAATATTCAGTCTAAGTGTAATCCTATTCCACTTTGCTTGAGTCCTTGAAAATTTTTGTGTCCACTCTTGTAACATACCATAATTTTAACCTTAAGACTTAAGTCGCAAACAGCAGTCCAGAGGAGGAGGACCCAAATAATGAAAATTTTTCTCAGGTACTTGAATAAGGTGGGATAAGATTGTATTGAGGTGCCATAGGGCCTTGTCACATGATATACTTAGCACATGTTATTTGCACTTAAAATGCTAGCTTCCAAGCATTCAAGCAGTAAAAAGCATGCTAAGTGCTGTTGTAACATAGCAAAGTTAAGACTTGCCAGGTGAGGAGCATCTCCAAATCTTATTACCTAACATGTTGAGCTAATGCCCACCTGTTCCATGGAAGTAATACAATCAGGAGACTCCAGTGTGTGCCAAGGCTGGGACTAACAAGCAGCTGATTGCTGGTCCCAGCTCCCGCAACATTGCAGCGCAACACTACCATATTTTCAATCATATAGCCCGCACCAATGTATAACCCACGGAAAATTGTATTTTCGTAAAATAGTCCATGTATAGACTGCACCATGTATTCCCCACACCTGATAGTACGGGCTCTGCTGGGCATGGCCGCCAGAGCTAATTGGTGCAGGAGGGGGGAGGGATGAGGAGCTGGGAGCCCAGCTCCCCACCACTGCCAGCTGCGCTCAAGCGCGGGCTCTGCTGGGCATGGCTGCCGGAGCCGGGGCTGGAGCCAGCTAAAAGTGGTGCAGGGGAGGGATGAGGAGCTGCAAGTGGGGGGGTTAAGGGAGGCAGCCTTGCTCCCTTCCACCGGTGCCAGCCACGCTCAATCGCGCCAGAGCTCACTGCCGCTGGGGCTCGCCACCACCATGACATCAGCCCACGGACGGGGATGGGCTATGCTGTTCTAAAGACTCTGCATAGCCCACACCCATCCATCAAGTTTGTAAAAACGTGTATAGCCCGTGGACTGTATGCGCGAAAATACAGTAGTTTTCAAGGGCTCTAGGACTTAGGATGCATTTTATTTAGATCATAGTGAGCATTCTTGTGCATCTTCTCAGAAATCTGTCTAACTCATAGTGATGCTTACAACAATCTAAATAAAACATGTCCTAAGTGTAACATGGGGCAAGGCTCTGTGTCAGTCAGGTGCCTAATAGGAAATAGGATCTGGTCCTTTGCATCTCTCTAGCATATCCTATTACAGGACCACAATGCAATTTTTTGAAACATCTGCTAATGTAACTTGCTCAGTGAGATCGGTAAATAGTATTATCTTGACTCCAGAGATTGGGTAGTCAAGGAATAGAAAGGCCTTATGAATTGCTTTGGTCATCCAGATACTCTGAAGCAAAACTGGGAGTATAGAATCCCGTTCTCCTGCTACCTATACAAAAGGCCATCATTTCTGGTTAGCTTCAGAATGTAATTGGCAAGCAAGGGCGTACAACAGTGATTCTCACTGAGGTTGCCAAAAGAGGGTATGCCTTGAGATCCTTTCAAGGGTGCCACCATGTGTCATACAGTGTTAGCACTGTTAGGTGTACAGATATGATTCATGAGATAAACCTAGAGATTTTCAAATGCATATTTGTACTGTTAAAAACATTCTGACGTATTGTATACTTTTTGAGTTCTTTGCAGCAAAAACAAATCCTTTGTTGCTTTTCTGTAGTCAAAAAATGAGTAAAAATTAAGAGCTGGAATTTTCTGAAAAGTGCCTTGAGTCTAAAAAAGGTTTAGAATCACTGGGTTACAAAACCAAAGGGGAAACATTTCAATTTGGGAAGGACTGTTATGTTTATAAGCAGTGTAGAAAAAAATGTGGTTAATCCGAGGCATTATTTTTCATATCTGTTAGTTTCTTTTGCATTTATGAAAATCTCTTATGCTTCTAAATTGTATGTGTATATTAATGAAATGCGTTTTCTATACTGTTCCATGTAAATACTGGGCAAGCCTGTTACAGGAGGACACTTTAACATGTATTCTGATAGTCAATTTAAATTACCTGTATAGAGGAATCCATTAGTACTAAAGACTGAATTCTTTTTGTGGTCATTCCATTGCTAGCAGCAGTGCTTACCTTGAGCTTCACTGCCAAGGTGTTTCAGAAAGGGCTAAAACCCATTACTTGAATATTGTCGATTTCAGGACTTTTTTTACTTTTGTCCATCATCGTATAGTGTCTGAGAATTTTTTCAGTGTCTCTAGTGGACTTGGTAAAGTTTCTGGTACTTCTCTTTATTCATGTTTAAAAACTGTGCTTTAGGGTAGAGCATTTTTATATCCATAGATTTTATTAATTTACTTTTTTAATTTAGTAAGGTAGCTAGAGGTTCTATTAACAGTTGAATAAATAAAGAATGTATTCTTTATTCTCAAATATTCTGTATTTCTGCTGAAATTCCTTCAGTTTTTAAACAATTACAATTTCTTCATTTGATAAGAAAAGGATTGCTAATAGTTGCAGGTTTTCAGGGCACCCTTTATATTCATTTAAACAAATCAAAGGCGGTGGAACTCCAAACATGTGCTTCAGATTGAATATGTTCCCTCCTGAATAAAGCTGGATTTAAACATGTGCTATCCTGAATCAGTGCCCAGATCTAGCTTGCATTCATATATTATATTCCCTTTCTTTCTTTTTGTGTGTGTGTGTATATGGTATGTAGCCTGATGGGGCCTCTGTCAATGACTGGCTCATATGTACTGCAGTAAAATAATAATAATAATAATAATGTATTGCCTGTTGTATGTTCTTTCAGGTTTAGAAATAGGTCCTTCTATTCCACATATGTGCAGCCTCATTGGTTCTTTCATTTAGAATAATTGGAGTATTTAGTGGCTTTCTTGTTCTCATTTGGTTGCATTTTATTTAATCCTAGTAGTGAAAATATCCAGATAAAGCACAGAAGGTTACATTTTCATTTTTAGTGGGTTCCATCCAGACAAATTTATCAAAGGCTGTCTGTTTGTAGGCAACTATTGTAATCTGATCCTAGCTCTTCTGAGCTTAAGTTTAGAGTGAAAAATGTGCCCCCTGATTAAATATAGCAATTAAGGATTTTAGGGGTCTTGGTTTTGACCCACTTGAGATGGAGCGCTGACCTCAAAGCAGTATGTTTAGTATTGAATTGTGGAACCATTACAAAACAATTAAATAATTTTTCTAAGGATTTTTAGGACTCCTTCTCCTCCAGTTTCCCCCTTGCCCTCCCCCCAAAAAACTTTTCTCTTGAACTGCAGCTTTCTTAATTATTTGAGTTTGAAGGTATGTAATTGTGATGCTGATCTAACAATATGGTCTGACAAAGAAAAGTGTAATTACCCGTCTCATTTATCCTGTGCTGAACAGACAAGTAGAGCAGTATTTGTTTCAACCTTACTTAGATGTTATCTGGCTTATTAAGATGGATTTTTTTGTGTTTGTTTAAAAAAAAAAAAACTCACAAATTTTGAAATTTCTATAGATCCCTACAAGATTTAAATATCCAGTGACCTCACTGTCAATGAGAACTGTATTATGCGTCCTATAGATGCTTTGAAAAATCTTATCCTTCATTAATGCTTATTTAAGTACAGTACTGCACAAGCCATGCAGATAGCTGATGCGAAGATCTTGCAAGATACGGACACATGTCTGAAAACATCTGTGTGTGCCAACCTTTTCCCTTATTATTTTTCAAATAAATATTGCAGATCTATTAGCAGCATCAGGCCAATTCACTGGACTAATTGGAGCTCACATTTGTGTTTAAACAGTTCTAGAAGTTGCCTCCATGCCCCTTAAAATTATTCATTGTCACACACAGGGAGGTTATGCACAACTAGAACTATGCTTCAATTACTCAGATTAAGAATGGAAAGGAAATGAATTACTTCCCTCTCTGCTCTTTCAGTTGCACAAAAACGTCTGTTGTTTACTGAGGTTGTATTGAATGCCTTTGTTATGTGTGTTTAATTCAACCCCTTTTCTCCTTCCAGACCATATACACCTATGAAAGGGGCCCTCTCCACTGTGTGGTTTGACAGATATAAGATCTCAAATGATTGTCCGGAGCACATTGAAACCATTGATTCAATGTGTAAGTTGCTTACTGAGTTGATTGATGAGGAGATTAAAAACGGCATCCGAAAGGATAGGATACTCTTAGGTAAGTGTTTGTAAATCTTAAAACTCAAAAACGTAAGAGATCGTCACACTTGGGGTTCATACACTGAATCTTGCAAGTCGATGCGCAGTTCTTGCTGCTGCTGAGTTGCCCCTACTCTTGTTGATTTTCATTGTTTGTTGCAAGGACTTAGTATCTTGCAGTGCCTCATCCATACTGCCCCTAATTCTCCCCTTACCCCCTTAAAGCTGCCTTGAATAGAGTGAGGTTGAGTGGGTATAAACATATGTAGAATTTGACTTCCTGTATACACAGTAAATGTAGCCTAAAAGCCTTTTCTATTGTTGTTGTTGCTTAGAATGGTTCGTTATAATTGGCTCAAAACCCACTTAGCAATGATTAACCCATATTTGCTTGGCTATTTGTATCTGGCCACTTTATATACTAAGTATGGCTTTGAAATAGAAATCTTGAGTTCTTTCAAAGTTACTGCAGCTTTTGTATTTAATCATTGTATGTGGGACCCAAGTGTCATACAATCATAGAAAATTGGGTTGGAAAGGACCTCAGGAGGTCATCTAGTCTAGCCCCCTTGTCAAAGCAGGACCATCCCCAACTACATCATCTGAGGCAAGTCTTGTGTCTAGCCTGGTCTTAAAAACCTCCAACGATGGAGATTCCACAACTACTCTGGGTAACCTATTCCAGTGCTTTACTATCCCCCACCAGTGAGAGAGTTTTCCTTCATATCTAACCTACACTTCCCTTGCTGCAACTTGTGACAAGTGCTCTTTGTTCTTTGTTCTGTCATCTGCCACTGCTGAGAACAGTCTAGCTCTATCCTCTTTTGAACCCCACTTCAAGTAGTTGAAGGCTGCTCTTAAGTCCCCTCTTAGTCTTCTCTTCTCTAGACTAAATAGCCCAGTTTCCTCAGCCTCTCCTCATAAGTTATGTGCCCCAACCCCCGCACCATTTTCATTGCACTCCGCTGGACTCTCTCCAATTTGTTCACATCCTTTTTGTAGTGAGGTGCCCAAAACTGGACACAGTACTCCAGATGTGGCACTTCCCTTGATCTGCTGGCAGCGCTCCTATTAATGGAGCCCAGTATGCCATTAGTCTTCTTCACAACAAGTGCACACTTTTTGGCTCATATTCAGTTTATTGTCAACTGTAACCCTTAAGTCCTTTGCTGCAGAGCTGCTTCTTAGCCGGTCGGTCCCCAGCCTGTCTCTCTGTCCCTAGCTTGCATGGGATTGTTCCATCCCAAGTGCAGGACTGCACTTCTCCTTATTAAACCTCTTGAGAGATTTTTGTGGTCCAGTCCTCCAATTTGCCAATATCTCTGAATCCTAGCACTACCCTCCAACAATATCTACTATTCCTCCTAGTTTGGTGTCATCTGCAAACTTGCTGAGGGTGCACTCTATCTCATCTTCCAGGTTGTTAATGAAGATATTGAACAAAACCAGCCCCAGGACTGACACTTGGGGCACTCCACTTGAGATCAGCTGCCAACTAGACATCAGGCCATTGGTTACTACTCTTCGAGCCCAACAATCCTGCCAGTTTTCTATCCACCTTGCAGTCCATTCATCCAAGCTAGACTTTCTTAGCTTGCTTGCCAGAATGTTGTGGGAGACGGTATCAAAAGGCTTGCTTCAGTCAAGGTATATCACATCCACTGCTCTCCCTGCATCAGGAGGGAATCAGGTGGTGAACTGGCAGTGAATTTGTGAGTTTTAGGCTACAAGAAGGGCTGTGGGGGTTGTTTTTTGAAAAGGGAGTTGAAAAAAGCACAGTTGCAGTAACAGGTGTGGAGTGTAGTTTTCCCCAGATTTCCTGTGAGCAGTGCAGTTGCAGAAAATTGAAAGGTCACAGTGAGCCAGAGTAACAATACATTGGGGCATTTGCCTATGAAGAAAGAACTGAGTGGAATGGAGGGATTAGATAACTAAACTGGTGAAGGATTATGAAAGATATGAATGAAGCAGATATGAGCATTTTGGATAGGGTGGCATATAAATCTAATAAACATGCCCCAGATTTTGATAAACTAAAAGTATCAGACAAACTGGATGGATGGACAGGTATTAATTGAAGATGCGGTGAAATTCAGATTGTTGGAACTCAGATGTCAGGGGATTAGAGAAACATTTTGTTTTTGAAGACAGGGTTGAGGGAGTGTCCATTTTTGTCTGGGAGTTGATTTGTTGTGAAGGGTAGATTAGGGTTATGGGATGGAAGGCTGGGAGATCAGGTGAACTGTCAGGTGGAAATTTCAACATGAAGAAGGCTAGAGATGGTTAGGAGAGGGATGGCTACATGTTGGGCAGGAAGTTTGGTGTTTGCTGACAGGTGCTTGGAATGGGAAGGAGAACAGTCTCTTGGAGCATTGCTCAAAGCAGGATGAGTGGGAAGCTAGCAGAAGTAAGGGCAGGCTCTCTAGGAATTCAGGCTCCACCAGGGCTTTCTGGAAGTTGACTTTACTTTCTTTCCATGGGCTTGGGATTTGTGAGTACAGGGGCATCAGTTATTCCAAAAGAATTGCATTGTGCCCTACTCGTTTCAACATCATACCTTTCTAATGATGGCTGTTCGAAGGTCACTGTTGTTAACCATTTTATTGCTGATCACTTTAGAAAAAGCATCCAGCTGCTCTGTGGTTAGAGAATTACATACCGCTACTCCTTACCTATCACACTTCACCATAAATCAGAATATTAGCATCCCTGATGTTATCTGTTTTGCAGAGCATGTTGAAAATAACTTGGTTTTCTTGATAGATTTCAGCTTGATACACCTCAATCCATCACTACTACTTCTTTGGGAAGTCTATGAACATATAGATGGCAGTAAGCATTCCCAGTACCCATCCTTATGGCTTAAAAAAAAGTTGTTCCCTAGGAATGTAGAAGAACCTTATAAGTTAATGAGCTTTTTCTAGTTCAAAAGAGTATCAAGTAATACTTTCATAATGGAAAAAAAAAAGGAATCAATTATTTTGTAAAAACAATACCATCTAGATCTGGAAAAAAAAAAGTCATTTTCTTGCCAGATGTTCTTGTTGGCTTGCTTTCTTATTGGTCTTACAGGCTAAAAAAAATGTTTGAAATAATTCCTGTCGGGGTGGGGACTGATTTTAAGGGATAAAAAAGGATGATCATGCAAGTCAAATTTTGGTACTGCCTGCCTCCCTTAGTAACACATGATTAAAAGTCAGTATATTTTGGCAGTACATTTGGATGCTTATAACAATTGAGAAATTCAGCAATTCTTAGTATATTCAAAGACTGTTCAAATCTTAGAATATTTAGAACCTATATATATAAAGGGCTTAGTCCGTCTGTCTGTCTGTCCATAACGCTCTTGGGGGGGCGTAGCTCCCAGCAGGGCGTGACTTCAGTCAGTGCTGTGCGCAGAGCAAATTGCCTGTCAAGAATGACAGTGGGGCTGGAGCAACACCATGATGGTGGGGACAGAGGAAACAGAGCTGGGGGGGGCATGGATAGTGATGGTGGGGATGGAGCGCCACCGTGGCAATGGGGACAGAGTGGGAGGCCGAGGCCAGCACTGTTGGCCTCGCTCCCTACCTCCCCCTAGCCCTGCTCCTTGGAGGCAGCCACGGCGCAGGGTGGTGGTGGCGCAGCACTGCCCC